GAAGAAGAACCAGGTCAGAACACCTCATCCCAGATGGGATCTGGGCAGTGTGCTATGATCTACAAGGAGGGACCACAGACAATTCTATAAAACTTTTTTTTAAAGGGATGTGATTTCTGGACCTCTTGGTGGCTAAAAAAAAATTCAAGGACACAAGATGGTGTTCATTAGTCCACAACTGAGTGTGAGCAAACTGACTTTAGCAGCATTCACACCCTTCAGTGATGAAATAAGGTCTCAAAGCCATCTGTTGCCTAAATTACTTTTTGTAGATGGTACAGTGTTCATGCTATGCTCTTACTACATAATGCCAGAGGTGCCTCTTCAATCTCAACTCCTTAAAAGAGAGCCCAGCCCCACCCCCTTTTTTTGCATTTCAAATTTTTTTTTATTGTACTATATTGAAGGACTCAAGAACCAGCTCCTGGGAACCCTGTGAAGCTGTGTGCCCAGACTGACACTGTTTGCTCGGCCCACTATGACAATGTGTCAAGGTGTTCATACATTTTAAAATGTCCTCTCTGACCAACAGGCAGGACAAAGCTCTCCTCCTCCTCCTCTTCCTCCTCCTGAAAAGCACTACTGCAGGCTTTGTTGACATGAAAACTCCCACTGACTCTGTTATTCCTTGTTTGCATCAAAGATGGGAACCTCTCAGAGACAGCATCTCACTACAGACAGGGAATGTTAATGATGGAGAATTGGTAAGCATTTACAAAAACCTTTGTTTGTATGTGCAGAAGGTAAGAACCTTCTTCAAGAAAATGCCTTTGCCTCACTTATAGGAGTTCTCATTAATAAACCAAACAAAATCTGGCCCTTAACAGAAAATACTTGTGAGGACTTGAAATATAACAGTTATGGACAGTGAGAAATACTGCTGCACCATTATGAGAATGCTTGATTAATTGTTGTTCCGTGTAGGCTTTGCTTAATGGAAAGGACATTTGTGACGACTCTGTGGTCCTATTAAGACTAATTAATTCCTTCTCCAGATGAAATGAAGACTAATTAGACTCTAATATTAATTTCCTATTTGTCCAGAACCACTAATTTTCATATCACCCTGTTGCAGCCTACATTTGTATGTCTGTGCTTGCTGCACATCAGTGTTTGTCTGTGTCGTGGTTTAACCTCAGCCAGCAGCCAAGAAACCCTGCCTCCTCCCCGTTCTTCCCCCCCCCAACCCGGAGGAATGGGGAGGAGAACAACTAGAGTAAAATACGTGGGTTGAGATAAGGACAGTTTAATAATAATACAGAGTAGAATGAGCTACAATGCTAATAGATAATGAAAAACCAAAATCAGTGATGCACAATACAATTGCTCACCACCCGCGGACCGGCGCAACCCAGAACCTCCCCCAGGATCGGCCCCTTCCTGCTTGTAACACCGAGCATGACATGCCATGGTGGGGAATATCCCTTTGGCTAGTTCAAGTCACCTGTCCCAGCTATGATCCCTCCCAGTTTCTTGTGTATCTTCTCACTGGCAGAGCATGAGACACAAGCAAGAAAATGTCCATGGTTTATGATAAACACAATCCAGCAAAACCAAAACAACAATGTATTATCACTTCTGAATTCAAAACACTGCACTACACTAGCTACTGAGAAAATTAACCCCATCCTGGCTAAAACCAGGACAGTCTGACAGGGTGGCAAAATGACATAAGACAACCATAAACATAAGCTATTAAAGTGTGCCAGAGGGGCTAGTGTGAAAGGAGCACAATCCCAATCGTAAGAGTGGCACTCAGGCCATGAGCTACACATGGAACTAGGCACAAACTGCATCTCCACAAACTCTCAAGACAGAGCTTTGCAGTGGAAACAAAGGTTTAGATGCTGAACCCTCATGTGTCACTCAGATACTGTTCAAGTGGTTTTCAGTACATTTATTAACTTCTCTGTTGAAATAAATTACTGATACCTTCATGCTAGTCCCACTGTTAACAGGCTGAAGGAATGCTTGCTTATCCCTGTTTCTCTCATATGCTTTCTTTGCCTCCTCAATTTCCCTTCCTCTGCTTACTTCCCTTGACAATGCAAAACTGGTTCTCTCCAGAAAGCTGCTGGGTTCGGTGCACCATCCCCAGCCATCACCTTGTCTCTGACAGTCTTCAAAGTCAGCTGCACCTCATTTACCTTGTTCTATTTCTATGGCTCATACTGTACTCTGCTCTCTCAGGCTTTCATGTGCTTCACCCTGATGTGCTTCCCTGCAAATGTCTATTTACCTGGTTCTCCAGATCATGTTTTCCACCTGCTTTTGTGGTACTGTTTACAACTCCCATCCTAACATGCTGGACTGCATCTCACACTGCTAAACATTGAATTCCTTATGATAATAGTCCTTGACCTGTCACTCAGGTCATGAAACTTTCTCATCTCACTGTCCTCTAAACTCAATCCCCATGTTCCTGCATCACCTGAGCAACTGCCTCCACTCCTGTAGATTCCTTCTACTCTCTTTACTAACAGCATGCTAATCCAGCTATTTCTCAAGTGTTTCAACCAGGCTCTCTTTCTAAATGTTTCATAATTTTCAAAATCCAGCATCCAAAACAAGTCTGATCATCTCTTCTGTGATTGGCACTGCTGCTACTCACTCTTCCTCCCACACTCCTGTTACTGGCAGTGGCAAAACTGTCTCCTCTGACCTGGGGAACCATCTCTATTCCACTTCGGCACAAATATTCTGTCTGTGTACGAAATTAATACTATTACTTCTGATCTCGGTTTTCCCTTGGGCCAGTGTGAGAGTGTTGCCTTATCCCATGTAACCAAACCCTTTGCTTTACTTTAGCCACACCTCTGACATGCACAGCACCTGCTGCAGTGCATGCAGAAGTTTAACAAGAGTCTGCAAATTTCAGTGCTAACTAATCCTCATTAGTTGTTACTCTGAACAGAGAGTAGAAGTGCTACCACCTTTAACACATTTAAGTTGTTTCTTCATAATTATTTACCATCTTCACCAGTGCCATTTTGGATCTGTACAATGCTTCTTTCACTCTGAGTTGACTGTGAAGTCTGTAAACGCTTTTTGCCTTCTGTATGTCTGAATACTTCTGTCACACCTTTAATTGATAACAACAGAACAGTTGAGTGCAAACAGTAATAAAGTGGTTAAAATTCCCTTTCATTTGAAAAATTAACACCTCAACAAAGACTTCTCTGTGAGAAAAATACTGTCCTCCAGAGAATGGGACAATCTGATGCCCCTAATACTGCATAGGAAAATAGTTTTGGGCTTTTCTCCCATGTTTTATTATCTTCCAACATTAATAACCAAAAGGTACAGAAAATCCTGCAGTTTCTAAACAAGTTTTAAATAAATCTTTTTCTAAAGGTCAGCCCCACAAAGTTACCTCAAAACTGTTTCCTGTGAAAATAAATTACAATTGGTTTTGCACGGGAAAAGCAACTTCACAGGAGCTTTGGGCTCTGCAGGTGTCCCGGAGGCTGTCACAGGAGCACTGCACCTGCACAGGCGCTGGGGACTCCTGTACCGGACGTGGGGAGAAAACCTTCCTTCTCTATCTCTTGCTTATGACTAGGCAAAAGGCTGCAGGGCTTAATGGCAAGCCTTTTCTGTTTATTCCTGTTTGTTCTCTCCCTCTGACGATTCCTATTTTGTTCCTGTTGTGCTGTAGCTCTCCCTCTTATCAAAAAGCCAAGGGTATTTGTCTGCCCTGTGGCTGAAATGGAGCACTGCCCTAAGGCTCCTCTGTCAGTCCTCTCTGCAGTAACTCAGTCTGGTGTCAGACTGCCCACCCTGCTCGACAGTGACCTGTCCCCAGCTAACCTGCCCTGGCTGTCGGGGCGTTAAGTGCATGTGGGACCATTTCTGTTAGCTGCAGACACAGTCTCTGACTATCTTTACAAACTGGTCTCTTCAATTAATTTACAGATGCAAACCAAGTTTTCCTTGGTGAAATATCCTAAACAGCTCACCAGTACCACTTCATCACAAGTGACCTTCACTGAGGATGCCACAGACAATAATCATATGGTGAATCTCATTTTAACTTGCTATTTTCTATGGGTCCATGCATTTTTACACCATGTTTTTGCTTTGCCAATACTTAAGTTTTGGTGCTTTATTTCGTTATACAGAGCTATATTTTATATATCCTCATCTTCTTGGGAGACACAATAATTCTGTTGCTTTTAATTAAACACTAGCACTTCTGCCAATTCTTCATGAATTAATATACCCAATACAATTAACATGTGATTAACCTAGGTCAACATATTCTTGAAACAGAAAATCTGAAGCTTAAATGCAAGAAATTTTTGCTTTCAAATCGTATCTGACTGTTTTAACAGACTAATGAGCACAAAAAGATGCTTATGAATAGTAACTGAATACCTTGCCCTCCCTGTCTCACAGTATTTCCTGATATGCTACTTCATAGCAACACTTCATACAATGACCCCAAAGGCTGTTTAAAATAAGTCTCTTTACTACACTCAAGGCCTAGTTGGTTTTGCACGTGCAAGCGCCATTCCACTAAAGCTCAGTATACTGCTGCACGTCATGGTATGCATTAGTTCTGTGAGATGGAACACAGCTGCTGGAAATTCCTGCTCTGTTTGACTGTTCGCAGAAAACGTATCCTTGCTTCTCATAGCAGAGGTGTAATCACAAGCTAATGATTTATGCCAGGATCGGTAGCTCAATTTAAAGTAGTGAGGATATGACAGGCAGACACAGGAATAGAGGGACAGGAGACCAGCAGTGTGGTGCCGCTGCCTGCTGCAAATTGCCTGCTGTGGATGGGGAAGAGTGATGTAGTGGAGGAATGGGATTGCCTTATGGCTGGGTGTTTGGCCCTGCAAGGCCAAGAAGCTCATACATGCACTGAGGAGCCTGGAATCCAAAAGCCAGTGTCCACAGGAGCACAATGTCCCCAGAGACAATGTGGTTTTATATGAAATGGTTGCAACAATGAAATGCACTCTAGCACTGCACTGATGATCACCACCCCCACTCTACATGGAGCAGACTTTGTTTTCTGAAGCTGCCAATGGAGCAAAAGGTTGGCAACTTCTGTGCTCACCTGCGGTTTTCCTCTTAGAAACGGTGCTGTGTACTGCCATAGTGGACATCTCACTGCCTCGTCTGCCCTGGGTTAGCACTGCTCTCTCTGACATTGGGTTCGTGTTGGACTCTGTAGTTCCTATGCACTGCAGCTGGACATTTGAATCAGACACTTCCGGGAGAGCTGAAAAAATGGGAGAGCAATCAAAACACATAAGGAATTTTGAAACAGTTCTATAAAGCAATCTGTTAGCTAAAACTCTTAGAAATTCTCTCATGAATCAGTCAGAAACAAAGAAATAACCCCATAAAATAGATTTGCCCATGCCACCATGAAGTCTAAACCTGAGAATAAATTATGTTCTAAAAAGTCCAAAAGTACTGGAAAATCTTATTCTAAAAATAATTTTCTGCTTGTAACTAACCACATCTAATAGACAGAATTGGTCATTTCTCCAGGCTAATGGGCTGCTTTCATGTACTAAATCCCAGCTCTTCAAAGGTGGTTTGTTTGTTGTCTGTATCCATGCACAAGGGTAAGAGCAGCACACATCTGGCACGCAGTGGGAGATCAGGGTGCTGTCCACAGGATGTGAGGCCAGCAGTAACTCTCTTTGGAGGACTGCAAAAATATATGTATTCACCACTTCTTATTCAACAGTCACTTTACTATTTTTCTTTTCACTTACATGCTGCTTGATGCCACCACTCTCAGTAGCTACTTGTGTTTTTATCCTGCCTGTTACCTTCATGAGCACACAGCACTCTGGGGCATCCCCACAGCAATTCTTTTTCTCTGCATCCAACCCTCTGCCCTCATTCCAGAGAGGAAAGCTGTCCCATGGGCACATGCAATGCTTCTGCTCCCTGCACAGACAACCGCAAGTGCAGCATTTCCCCGACACGTCCTCAAGCTTTGAAAACTTCCACCCCACCTCAAAATCAACTCACTGGTGTTGTATTCCTAAAGAATTATTGAAATATACTGGGACAGTCCTGGAAACAGAATTTTCATACAGAAAACTAACTGATGTTCACTGAGGGCTGATTGTCCTTTCTAGTGTCTAAACCTAGTAATTAATGTTTGCATTTTAACGATGCACAGAGGCTTATGCTGAGGCTTAGGCAGATTTATCTGGTTTTTGCACTAAATGCTGGCTATTGTAATGCTTGTTCACTAACACACAGATAGGGAGAAATAATTCATTACAGCGCAAGACATAATAGCAGAATATGAGTGTAAAAGACACTTTAAGAGCATACAATACCTGTTTGTTCAAAAAGACATTAATAATTGGGTCCCAGACAGTGGCTGTCTGGAACAAGAAGGCTGGAATTGCTGCCAGATGAGATCCAGCTCAACGGAGGGGTGTGCAGTGGATAGCGAAGGTGACGTACGGCATCCAGCAGATCAGAAAAGCAACGATCATAACAACAACCGTTCTAGTCACTCGTCTTTCAGGTCTCTGTCTGCTAGCTCCCAGCCTGCCCTGTGTGTTTGACACCTTTAAAGAAAAGATAAAAGGTTCCAGAAGACAAGCAACAAGGCCTCCAACCAGTGACTAGTGAGCTGGCAAGTAATCTGCCATGCTAGAAGGAAAGGTCTGTGCTTCCTGAGTGTGGCAGCACAGGAGGATGCTGCCACTGACCACAGGGTGTCAAAGCTACTGCTGAGGGACATGAATTACCATATATTGGCACTACTAAATTTTCTTTTGCTAAAGTATCTTTATATTTTTATTGTCAAAATGAGAGCAAAAAGCAACTACCAGGCCAATCTCTGAGTGGAATCTAACTGCAGTCAGCCATACCACTCCCAAGTTAGCTCCAGCCAAGTCATGAGGATGGCACGGGTTTGCTGTTCAGCCTCACTAAAGCTCATCTAGCTCAGTGCTAGATGATGATGGTGCTTGCCCACCCCCAGGCAGTACAGAAATTTAAATTCTATTTGTGAGAAAAGTAATCCTAATGATTTTAGTCAAATCTGAGACAAGATTTGTCCTCTATTTAGAATGCCAAATAACAGAATACAATGACCCTGACAGAATGAGTGACTGGCAGTTATCTGATAACAATAAGTTGCCTCTAAAAATATGAAACATAAATTAGAGCTACATTTCTGGGTGATGCAACCTGCCATGCATCACTAACTTCAATGGAGCTACCTCTGCTTACAGCAGCCCTGCATCCACACAAAGCCTGGTAAAGCCAAACTCCTTGGCTTGTGGGAAAGCTGCCTAGTAAGTATTTGCTCTGTGTGAGCAGGAGCAGTATGCCTCCCTTCCCCTTTTCTGGTCTTTGTGCAATGTGTGTGCTGCTGTCCTGGCAGCAGACTTTACTACACCAGAACAATGCCACGCAGGACCAAGTCTGCAATGCGGCAACCATGGGGCACAGCAGGCAAAATCTGGGAATACAGCTGCTTGGGACCACCAAGACATCAGTTCTGGTGCTGGGGCTCTGTGTTCGCCATAGTCAGAGTTTTGAAAATGTGAGCCACGTCTGTATGGCAAGTCATTATAGATTTACAGAATATGGTGCAAGTAGTTGGCTTTTCGGAGCCAAAGGCCAGGACTGGCACAAGACAGATGTTTACAGCTACATCACTTGTGGTCAGGCACCCTGAGGCCACCCCTGTTCCCTGGCTGTGCAGCCTGCCAGGTCACTGAGCTGTGAGGGAAGCATGAAACAGACAACTTACCCAGAAATGTGACTGTTTTAATAATACAGTGATTTTTTTTCTGGATAACAGAGAGAGTACTGCTTTGCAGTAAACAGAAATACCAGTATTGCTCCAGAATCTTTTTCCAAATAGAAATTTTCCTATTCTATTGTCTTCTTTTTCACTTTCTGCAGATTATCCTTTGGATCAGGTCAATACAGCCATTAAATAAAACTCATAAGCATTTCTCAAGTCTTTTAAATGTTTCCGGACAATCAAATGTTTTATTTACTAAACAGTGTTCTAGTATTTATGAATGCTGCATCCTATTCTGCATGTAAGTGTAACAAAGTAGTATCTAGCACACTTAAAATTTACAGCTGCAGTCATTCTAACCTACATTCTGACTTGTCTGGTTTGAGTCTTAAGAACTGTCATGGAATTGAAGTACAATTACAAATAAACCCATACTGGGTCATTCAGTTTCTTTATTTATGAGGCAGACATTCCTTCATTTGTATGCTGTTTGAGTAAAAGATGTACTGATAAGTGACACAAACTGCAAACTTTGAAAAACCACTTCTAACCATCACATGAATCTCTGTGCTACGTAACAAGGGATGTCACTGAGTGTGTTTGCTGCCTGCAAACCTGATCTGCTTATGTCTGATCGTTATAGAAAAATCAAATACAAAAATCCCAAATGTTTGCATACATACACATTTTGAATTTACTTATAAATGCTTGTTCTTACCTTTCTCAACTTCCGCACCAGTTTGCCATAGGATATCAAAATCACCAATAAAGGCACTACAAAACATGTGGTGAAGAATGCAGTGATGTACAAATGGTCAGCATAAGCTCCTGAGTACCTGCATAAAACACAAAATGCATTGCATCTGTATTACTAACATGTTCTTATTGTTTTCTTGAAGTATTAATTTTACTCTTCAAAGCTGTCGGTAGTATTTTTGTGAACTGCTTTTATTCAAAGGGCTTCTTTACAACTCTAGTCGTATCACCAGATGGAGCTCTGGGCCATCTCACTGCCCTTGGGCTAGGACAGGATTCCATAACCATAGGTACAGAACCATAAGCGTGGGGCAGATCAGATGGAAAGGGGCATGCAGTCCAATCTCCTGCTCCAAATGGAGCCAGCTATGGGGTCAGACCAGCCTGCTCAGAGCCTTGTCCAGTTTTCTGAAAAAATCTGTCTCCCTATCCAATTTGACACCTGACAAAAAGCACAAGGTATAGGGTGGTTATTTCCATTAGAGATGGAATCTCTAATATCCTCCCTTTAGCAATTTTTGGTTTTAAAACTGTTCATGGAAAATTTTGCTCAATTTTATTACAACTTCCTTTACACCCGTCTGTTTCTTTGCCATGCTCTGTGAGAGTGGCCTTACCAGTTAGGCTCACAAGTAGTTCCAATCTTACTGGTCGTGTAACTGCTGCAACCCATTGTTGGTGGAATGGTCCAAATGAAGGAAAAGGTTCACACAAAGACAATACCTAGGGCTGCATGCTTCCCTTTCAAGCGCACATTTCTCAAAGGGTGGCAGGTCACAATGTACCGCTCAAAAGCCAACAGAGCAAGAGACCAGAGAGAAACAATGCCTGTAGCAAGTAAACACAGACACAGCACCAAAAATTGGGTACATTCACTGAAAAGCAAATACCATCCCAAATCACAGAACTGTCTAAGTTGAAAGGCATCTCTGGATGTCATCACAACCCCAGGCATGGTCCATACAGCATGCTGTCCAAGACCAAGTCCAGTTGGGTTTTAAGTATCTCCACAGATGGAGACTCCACAACCACTCTGGGCAACATGTGCCACTGTTTGACCACCCATCACATCAGACACCTATTCTATTGACCCAAGTTACGAAAAGATGTGCAATTTATGTGCATTATTCTAATATTAATTAAGAGCATAAGAATTTCATATTAGTCTAGTTAGTCAGTCTACAGTATAATGGCTACAAAATCAAGCAGCTAATCAGGCCAGTTAAGTGATGATAACTTACATTTTTCATTCAGTTCTACTCCAAAAAGCTGCAAATTATGTGTAGCAACCAAATTAACCAATTAAGACAGATCTTCAAAATGCTATCTTTGCAAAAATGACCTATTTCAGACTGTCATAAACCCACAGACAGCTGCCCACAAAAACAATCTATCAGTTTATTAGGCACATATCACCTGGATGGCCACCCAAATCCTGAAACAGCCTGATCTTTCTTCAGGGGACACGGCTTACATGCCACTGACTGGTTATGAGCACTGTCCCTCACTGACATTCCCTCTGTGTAGCTTAACCAGGCAGAAAGCAGCTGAGGGAGTCCTCTTCAGGCTGACGGTCAGCACAGTGTGATTTAGGGCAGTGAGGAGAGTTACTGGCTGTCCTTATGCAGCTTCAGAAGCAGGGACAGGAGTGTGCTGGTTTGAAAAGCAAACCGGTGAGAGACGCTCAGTCAGAAGTACAATTTAATATGAACAACACAACAAAACAACATAAATGCAACAGTACAAAAAAAAAACACCTGACAGAGTCAGAAATTAACCTGACAGAGTCAGAAAAGTAACCTGACAGCCTGTCAGTCAGGATGTAGTAGTAGTCCGATTAAACGGTGGCTGCAGTCCTCCTGGAGTGATGGGTTTGTTGGAGCAGTGATCCCGCAGATCCGGTTCTCTCCTGAAGGTCCAGCAACAGCTCTTGTCCTCTGGGAATCCAGCAGGCAAAGGGCTCCCTGTGCTGGTCCAAACCCCAGCTTATAACCCTGTGAGCATGTTTGGCTCCCCACCCCTGGGGTGAGTCACCTCACCATGGGACAAGGGATAAGGGTCACTGGGAGGATGTGTCATGCATGGGTCCTTGACAGCCCGTTAATCAGAGACAGCCCCCTGAGGGAGCCATCAGGATTGCCCTGAGGGAGGGACAAGGTGATAACGATCACTGCCCCACCTTGCTTTAACAGCCTGTGGAGATGATAATAGAATACATACCATGGATACCCCCCACACTGCAACCCAGGACAGGAGGCAGGAATGGGTATCTGTCTCAGGTAAGTAGATGTCCCACTAAACTAATTTCCTATTTTGTGTGCAGAGGTTTATTTACACAGAGAACTATGTGGTGAGGATTTTTCCTTTAGAGTACTGCTAATATTTTTGGTAGTTATTGAACAAAGCCTCAGAAAACAATCACAAAAAGCTGTAGTGTGCAGAGTGACTGTTACAGGTGACTGTCACTGCTCCTCCACCTCTGCAGGGTAGCAAACACAAGAGGTTTCTGTGCCCTGAGGTCTTCCAGATTACGAGCAGCCACTCACTCTTTTTCTCTCTCTCTTATTCATCCACACATGCACACACCTAACTACAAATACTGAAAAGAGTTACGAGCAGGGATTTTTTTTCCTGAAATTGTTTTACCATAAACCCCACAACACTGTTACTCCATTAGTAAGCTCTTTCTCATTATATGAAACATACTCAATGGTCACTATACATGTGACAGGCCATGTATATGACAGAGGCATTTTTCACTTGCACGTGGGTTCCCCTGCAGGATGCATGTAACTGGGGGATTCAGAGGCATGCAAAGTCAGGGACTTGGCGAGCTGCAGTAGAATACATTGAAGTAAACTGAAGGAAAAGAACATACAATCACGAACAAATCAAGCTTACCAAAAAATGCGACAGCAAATCCTTCCAGTACACAAGCCCAGCATCCCATATAAAAATAACCTTTTAGATCTGTTAGAAAGCTGATGGTGCCACTAGTCAGCGAGACCAGGAAATCAGCCACAGACAAATTGACTATAACATAATTGATAGGTTGTCTCAATTGCTTGAACTTAAAAGTTACAAGGACTACAGCAAGGTTCTCAGTCACCACCAACAATACCGCTGCCAGAAGCATGAAGTGCCAGGGGTGGATGGAATCCAGGGGATGACCGAAGGGATCCCGGACAGCAGGACTAGAGGAACTGGACAAGAGCGACTCATTTTCAAGTGCTTTGACTGCATCCAATTTTTTTTCTCAGTAGCAAAAATTGTTTTATATAATACTGGAGTTTCTAATCTGGAAATAATACTCAGGATTAACAGGAGAAGTTTGCTGTCCCCAACAAAATCGTGAACAAACTCTCCCTGCTCCCGCTTTCCAGTAGCAATCCAGGAAACAGTGTTGTTGGAGCAAAGTTCAGCGCTGTAGAGTGAGAACAGTGTGGGAACAGGGATGAGCAAGAAAATCTCTCAGAGCAACTTCTGCGCCTCTCTGCCCCCGCAGCTGTGCCGTGTTCGAGCGGAGCCGGCGG